GATACAATTAATATTTTTATGTGATACCACAAAAATGATACTATTTTTATGTGATATGGTGAACAATAATACAGGTTAAAAAATATGATTAGAAATAAAAGCAGGATAATATTTATTAATTCTGTAGAGAATGTAATAACGGTTATACATCATAACCGTGATAATATTTGTTAGTTCTGCAGAAAATTTAACAACGGCTATATATCATAACCGTTATAATATCTCACGTGTTGTCTAGGAAAAAATAAATATCAAAATGGTGTAGGTGAGATCGAACCTAGGACCATTATTTTTATCACAATTGTTTTTTAGAAAATCTGTTGTGATAGGCCGCATGCTTTCCAGTTTATTACAACAGTTACTGGGTCGTGATTGTAAGTATCATATATGCAACAACACTCTAGATAACAACGTATATGCCCGAGTGATTATATATCATTCACAACCGTTGTTAAATGGGTATTTTGTAGTAGTGTGTAATCGGTTACCCCAAATGAGGTAACCGGTACACCCTTGGTAACAAGCCACACAACACAAAATGCACAGTGTTACTGATTACACCATGCCAATTTTCCCAAAAAATGCAGCGTTTAGACAGTGTAACCAGTTACGCCCATAGTGGTAAACAATTACACTGTATGCAAAATAACTTTTTCTGCAACTTTTTACACGAAAATCACTTTTGAGCCATTTCAAAAATCCATTTTTCCCAAAAATCAATTGCGCAACATTTTACTAAGAAAATCCACTTTTCCAAGTACACAAATAAACACATATATACTCACAACATCACATAATTAAATTATGGAAAAATAAATAAAACAAGTTAGGGCATTACATAATGCATCCATTAAGCAAATCGGCCAAAATGCTTTTGAAATCCAGTCTGATGTCATTGGCTTCCCAATCATCATTACTCCACCACTTATTGCTAAATTAATAAAGTGTGAAGATAATGACGTTTGTGTTGAACACTACAAAAGCAACAACCCCTTCATCTCCAACATTTTTAAATGTATTTATGCCAACCATGAAAAGCCTGTAAGTGCCTCTACTCTCGCTCCCATGGCAAAAAATATGGCATCAATTGCTGGTGACAAATTTCAGGCCAAGAGAAATGGATATGGACTTGCTCACTTTTGTTGACAAACATCTCTTGTACTTCCTACTAACAAAATTTAAAGTTAGTCTACCTCTCACCATCTTCAACTTCCTGAAATTAAAGATCACGGCCTCCCGCGAGGAAATATCTGTCTTCATTCCTTATGGACGAGTTCTCTCAGAACTTCTCTCTTAGAAAAAAATAGTTAAGGTGCAAAAAGCCGACTTGATTGATGCTCTTGTAACCTATTGGGGCTTGAAGCTTGATGGAGATGAAAGCACTAATGATCAAAGGTAGAAGTATATAAAGATTTATTCAGGAGTTGGACCCTCTACTATTTATTCCTTTTCCCTTCTTGTCACAACCAGTCTCTCCTCTGAACTATCCTTTCTCATATATTTTTTTATCCTTTCCAATACTTATCTTGTAATTTGACAGATTAATGAAGTATTTCTTTTTCTTCTTAATCAATATTATTCTTCTGCAAGCCTTATCTATATTTTTTTGATTGATGACAAAGGGGGAGAAATAGTGAAGATATTATTTTGATTCACTTTTATGATATTATAAATCCCAAAAGTTTAACAATTTTGCTGGATAATTTATTAGATTATTGTGCTTATTGAAAATCAAATTTTTTCGTAAGTCTTCAACTCAGTGGGAGCTTGCAAACCACACTCTGTGTACTTAAGCTAAGAAAATTTTAAAGGTCTAAAACTCAGGGGGGGAACTTACAAACCTAACTCAAATTTTTAGTTGATTTTTTTATCAAGCAAAAATTGTTCATCAAAATACTAGTATTTGTCATAATCAAAAAGGGAGATGTTGTTGTAACAAGTTTAGTTCTACATCTACAATCTCTAAGTTTTGATGATAACAAAGTATAAAGATATTTTTTTTACTCTAATAGTTATGTTAAGTGTGTAGAATCTTAAAGATAATGAAAGTAGATTCTTGACTCTGGACAAAGTGAGCTCTGGATAAAGCATACTCTAGACTCGGAATAATGCAGACTCTGGACTCTAGACAAAGTAGAATCTAAATAAAGCAGACTCTAAACTCTGATAAAAGCATATTTTGAACTCTGGACTCTGGACAATAACAGATTCTAAAAGAAGGTTGAAATACGAAGAAATGTCTAACTGATAGTCAACCATCTAGATAATAAAGTCAACTCTTCTAGAACAAACAATCCAGATTGACCCTGATAACCCAAGCCTCATTTTCACTAGACTCTAAAATCTAATCTTCAAGGCTCTGAAATATGATCAAGCTTCAAATCATCTCAAATATGAAGCCAATGATTAAGAGAATAACATTGAAAGAATATTCTTAAAAATAGTACAATCAAGCGGCAAAATAAATTTTTTTCTTAAAAGGACAAATACACTGGAATTATTAAGGAATGTACTACCAACGGATCTCAACATTTTACGACTCAACCTTGTACCATTATTACAGTTGTGAAATTAAAGAAGTTCCCAATTCCATCCTCCAGCGGTACTATTCATCATCTATTTAAATAAGACATGGGATTTTGAAGATAAAAAGAACAACAAGAAAAATACGAATATCAAGAAGTGAGTAAAAAAAGAACAAAAAACAAGAGAAACAACAATTAGATCACTCACGACACTTAGAGCTTTAATTTGTATATTTTCTTAAGTGTAAACTTTGAAATTCATTTTCTGTATCTGCTTGTTTTGAAGCATTCTTATAAACACACAATATTTATATTTTAACTTCAGTTAAATTCCTTGAGGAACTAATTTTAGCCTGTAGCCTCGAGAAGTCATTGACAGTTGGTGTTTGTGTTTTTAATCAATCTGATTAGCGGATTAAATCCTTGTGAGAAAGAGAAATCACTCTGACGAGTGGACTGAATTAACTTAGTTAACAATGAACAAGTATAAAAATCATGTGTATTTATTTCATTGTTGTTCTTGTCATTAGTTTGCAAAAATTTGTCATAGCTGAAACCTAATTCAAACCCCCTATTTCTTGTGTTTCTTGAACCTTCATTACCATGGTCAAACAACTCACTCTTTTTGCATTGTGTTTAAATCTTACATTTATAGCAAGATTTTGAAAACCTTGTTATCTTCTCTAAAGAAGTTTGTTTGATAAAAAAAACAGGTGTAAAAATAGCTAATTTTATATATACAATTATATTAAGTATTAATCCCCAAATTACTGTGGTACTTTTTTAACAAGACAAAACCCTTAATTCTTGCAGAGTAACTAAATAGAATTACAACTAATATTACGTTTGCTTCATATGTAATGATCAGATGTTATTTTGTCATGATCATTTTTTTAGGGTTTTCACTAATCCATCCATTGTAATGTTGATTCCATCACGCATCTAGTGAGTATAGTGGGATAGCTATGAACATGGAATACAATAAACTTCTACTTCTCTTATTGGGATAAAGAATGCTTTGCTCCCCTTAATCTTTCTGGTTCTCTGGTCGGCCAGGTGGTTCATCTAGTGAGTACCATGGTAAGGAAGAACCAATCTCTAGTTGCTTCTCAAGGAAATTCATCCCCTGCTCAAGAGTCTCTTTCAGTAGCTCAGAGAGAATTGGATTCTATGAACCTTGAGGATGTCTCTCTGACTCGATGTTTGAGTGATTGAACGGCCATTAGCCTTGGGGCAGTTTGAGAATGCCTTGTACCAAGTGGAACACTTTGATCATCCTATACTTATCTCGAGGGTGCTAGTTTGGTTGAATCAAATTCTCAAAGATAGAGAGGCCCTCTCTCTGTTGGAGTAGTCTTGCTGACCATTTTTTTTTTTTTTGTGTACTGTATGCAAAGTACTTTTGTAATGAAAGAATATATGTGTATATATTACTTTTTTTTAATAGCATGTATTTTTACCTATTTGAGGTGTATTTGTAGTCCTGAGTGCAGAGCTTTGGATCTTGGGCGAACTTACGAGGTCTTCCCTTAAAGTTTATTGAACGTCACTAGGGTCGTTCTCAGCCAAAGGTCAGTTCTCCTACCCCTAAATAAAAATTTGGTCTACGGTAGAAGTACATCCGACCCACCGCGACCTCTAGAGTGGTTGGCTGGCAGAGGAGTGGACCATTATTGACTATGGGGAATTGATATCATAGTCGCGCGTGTAAAGCGTCTGTATTAGCACCCCTAACTTTCGGTGGTGAATTGGTTGTTTGGTCGCAAGCGCGAGGTGTTTGCGACAACACCATTGACTTTCCGTGAATAATAGATTGTTGTACTCGCACATGCAAAGAGTCTGCAACAACACGTTTGACTATCAGTGAGGAACTGATTATTGTAGTCGTATGTGCAAAAGCTCTACAATAACACCGCTGACTTCTTAGTGTGTGCTTGGTGCTGTGAGAAATTGATTGATGCAGTCAAATATATAAAGCGTTTGCGACAACACCCATGAACTTCTTAGTGTCGGGCTTCAATCCCATTTATTGTACCCCGAAGTCGTCTTTACTATGCACAATTACAAAGAAACAAATATTTTAGAAACAACAACATTTCAGAAACTCTAAATCCAACACAAAACCCTAAAAACCAGTTACAACCGTTAATTACTAGATGTTGTCATGTACTTTTTTTTATTTTAACAAGTACAATATAATTCATTGAATTGGTTGCATATTCCAAATATCTCTTCTTTCTCAATAGCTATCTATATAATAATTTCCTTGATGCTTAAAAATGTGTGTAATAGATAAGGGAACAAAACTCACCCAACAATTATATTTTTAAATTTACAAAACTCAAATCCAACATTTTATTAAGGAGAATACGTCACTCACCAACTTATTAAAGAAACAGAAAACTTGCAATTCCACACAATACAACAATTGTTATTTTATTTTTTTGACTAAAAAATTTGTTGTTTATTGATACACTAGAACAGATCACTTTCACATCCTATTTCATATTTCAAAATCACTCGCCTAAGGCTTTTCACAAGATCATCCACTCTCACTTTGTATCCTTCGCCCATCTGCAATATAAATAAGTAACAAAATCATACACAAATTTCATTGCAAATTCAATTTTAAGTAAGAATTAAATATGTGGTTAACTTACCTGAGCAATAATAGTAACGGAAATATTTGATTTCCCAAATGGCAAGACACTGCTGCCAGTAACAAAAAGCTCAAGATTTTCAATGTGTTTTAGTACTTTAAGCTCAATTCCGATTTGTTTCTCACAATGAATTTCAATAAGCACTTCCTTTCCCATAACTCTTGCTTCAATCTCTGGGAGGATATTTTTGTTACAATCATCATCATCATCACTACTCGTTTCACCAGAATTTTTGTCTCCTTCATTATTGTTAATAATTCCACGTAGATTAGGTTTGTTGAGGACCATCATTGATGTGACACCAACGTTTTTGTCTTGTTTTTCTAGCTCATGAACACGTTCTTGAAGCTGTTTCACATAATCAATTGCTGCTCGAAGTATAGAAGCTTTATCCGTCTATAAAAATGAAAATTTATTTGTGGTCAAAATCATGTACTAATCATTTTTATATAAAACAAAAATCATTTCATGTATTAAGCAATTCAGTTACCTTGCTCAATCCGGGAATGGTGGCCGAAAGCGCGATGAATCTCTCCGTCAATTCCTGTCTCCGTTTTCTCTCTGCGATTATATGATCAGCACACTGAAAACTGTTTCTACCTTTTTTCACTACTTTTTCTTCATTTCTTTTCATCTTTTCATTACTTTCATGGCTCCGGCTCCGTTTATTCTTCGAATCACGTTTAGCTTCCGAATTGACACAAGGTTGAGATGTAGTAGCAGGTATCACAGTTGAGTTATCAAACGACAGAATGAACGTCTTTGGTAAACAACATCGACCACCAACATGTTTTGACTGTCCTGGTTCTTGTTGTTGTTCAGATACTACAGAATTTGAACAGTCACTTTTTATCATGTTATTAACAACCTCAAAACCGCAATTACCAGAATCATTTTCATCACTTTGTGGTGTTTCTAACATAATCTCTCTAAGAAAGTCATCACCATCGTCAATGTTAATAACGTTGTCTATGAAGTAATCATCACCGCAATCCAATTCCTACAAGAATTTTCATCATAAAAGCACGATAAATAAATCAAATTATTATTATCCTGTCTATGATAAAAATAATAAAATTACCATATGAAGATGAAAATTTTCCCATAACTCTTCCATTGGAAAATAGAACTGATGTAGGTTGAACAAAGTTTTGTGTGTTGTGTTGTGATGTTTTGATTTGATTTGCACTAGAGGAAATATAATGATAATATATAATGATAAAATTTATGATTAACTAGTCTAGGGACAAACAAGATAGTACTCGTTTTTCATGCTATTTGAATTTCAGCCGTTGGATCATTGATTTTGAAGTGGGACCATCCCACGTGTGTGTGAAATGAGAGGCATGTATATGGGTCCCACTAGGAGGAAAGGCTGAGCTAAACAAGTTTTGTTCACTAAATTATTATATCACTTTCTTAACTTTTGGATGCTACTATCTGTTTTTTTGCATGAAGTAGATGCCTGGAGAATCAATTTTTATAGATCAAATCAACTTTTTTTAATGTCATGTGAAACTTACACTAAATTATTTGTGTTTAGTAAGAGTTTTTTATTTTTATTTATTTTTTAAATACTTCATTGATTGATGATAGAAGTTTGAAAGAAAATATATAGAGTGAATTGATTTTATAAGAATGAGTTAGATCAAACTCTAATATTTTATATCTATCTAAATTTGTATCCCCCGTCAACTCCTCTTGATAATTTCTGACTATTTCGAGTTTTGAAATTGTTCTACATGGACATGCATGCTTGTTACGCCAAAACCAAACCATGTTGACAAGTACAGCCCACACTGCAGACCATGACACGTTTGGATTACTTCCCAACCCCTTGGTCATATTCAGCTCAATTCAACTGTCAGGTTTAGAATTGAAAAATTGCTACATGTGTTTATCATGCAAAGTATTGATCCAAATACACATAGCATCTGGCAGTCCTTCAAAACATGCAACGCTGATTCCATCTCCTTTATTAGAGGGTTGCAAGCTTACAAACTCAACATTAATAAAATCATCGGAGGTGCTCTAATGGTTAGGTCAAAAATTATATTTAAAGTAGAAATAATTCCTACTAGAAATATTTTGTTTTTATGCATATTTTGACAAAATTTTCGTAGAAAATTATAATAAAATCGCTGGAAAGAATCGCAGGTATATTTGCGGTAAATTTTATAGGTAATTGAAGTTTTCGCAGCAAAAATCGTAAAAAATATAAAATACTTAGATAACTTCAATCTTAAATTATTGATTAATTATTAATTGTGTTTAATTCATTTTTAAAACATTATAATTAAAGTTAAATATTAAAGTAACAATAATATAAAAATAAAAATATAATTTGAATAAGACAATTCAAAACTAATCACATTCAAATTTTTAGAGCAACCAGGTGGCTAAATATTATTATAAAGTCAATAACAAGTACTTTTAGAGTTACATTACTAAAAATGACACAACCAACATACTAATAATCATTTGTCCAACCAAGCTAATAAGAAATTACAATTCAAATTTAGACAAGTTAACAAAAAAAAATCCAAATCAAAATTCACTATTATTGTCTTCATCTGATTCATCAACACCATCTTCATTTGGGTGATCATTTTTATTATTGGCTTGGGGTGGATGAGAAGAAGATACAACAAATCCTAAATAATTCATTAACAATGAAAATTTATTGTTTGTTTCAATCATCTCTTTTTCTTGTCGTTGCAATTGTTGCTACATCTCCAACTTCTCTTTTTCTTGACTGTGTAATGATGCATTGAGAGCATGGACTTGATTTTTCAAATCATCAACCTCTTGAGAGTTACTCAAAATACTTGGTTGAGTTGATAATGAAACCAAAGTATTTGCAACGGTTCCAAGACCATATACCATGCCTTTTTTCTTTCTAAACGACTTCACCCATTTATTCAAATCAGGAGGCATTTCAACAGTAGTTTCACTATCAGCTTCATCCTCTCCTGGATTGAATTTTGAGAAAAAATCTTCAACTTTCTCTGTTCATATTAATCCCAAAAGAAAATTAAAAAAAAACATAATAAGAAATTAAAATTTTACAAACATAACAATAAGCTTCATCTCATATAGTCAAAATATCAAGGGTCTTTCACTATGTGTGTTAGGTTTTACTATAAATATCAAAATATCAAGCTAACTTCATCTCACATAGTCAAAATATCAAGGGTCTTTCACTCTGTGTGTTAAGTTTTACTATAAATAGCATATTAGTCTCCCATCTTAAGTGTGTTAAAATATGAAATTAACTTGTAATGGATAATTGTTAACAAGTCCATTAGTTTAGTATGTTAGATTTTATTATAAATAGCATACTAGTCTCTCATCTTAAGTGTGGTAAGTCCTAATTAGGGTGAGGGGGTTATTTGTTATTCTTTAGTACTTGTAATCTGATTTGAAGAGAAAGTAAAGAATATCAATTATAATCAATCCTTGTTGTTCCTCTTGTTTTTCCGTTAACCCTAACTCTTGTGTATTTCTTGATCATAAAGAAAATGTTTATACTTTGTTTTAAGGTACCGTTTTTCACAACAAATCTATTAAGAAGCGAATAATCTAGCTAATTTATTAGGAACCCTTTTAATCGATTAGAAAATGATACTTGCTTAACTTTTTCCATATTTTCTAGGTTTAACTGATTATGGTTGCAGGCTAATTGATTAGAGAGCAGTCTGAGCAAATTGATTATTTTCTTTTTGAGAGAAATATTTTATACAATATAAAGGAGTCTTGTGCATTCTTCCAAAGTACGAAAATTTGATTTACTACTATTCGCTCTCACGGACTCCTATTATATAAATTGTTTTATACATTAGTCATTATCTTAGTGTTGAGAGAGCGAAAGGTTTAAAGTAGATTTACGCAATTCTGTTGTTCTGATCAAATTGTGTTGATTAAATAAGTTAGTTATCTTGTAACATTGTAAAAGATATAAAAAGTTTAAAGAGTGACTTCACCTTTTCCAATTTTACTTTTGAAATTTTTAACATGTGTCCTTACATCATAAGTTAAGAACAAGGATATTTTTTCAATGAATTAGAGAAACTTATTTGCTCTTTTAAGTATTATTATATGCTTATAATTTATTGAGGAAAAAAGAACATTCAGTATCTCTACAAAGATTTTTAGGTCTTTTCTTCCTTTTCTTTAGTTGAACATTTCGTCCCTTTTATATTAAAAAAGTTGCAATTATTCGGTTTGATAACTCAAAAGGTGTGCAATCATTTTGTAAAAAGTTGTGTATATGCATTGAATGATTGAAACTTTGGTTAAGGGATGTGTGTATGATTACCAAATTAAGAAAATCAATTCATTTTATTGATTTTGATTTAAAAACCAAACTATTTTTATAAAAATCAATTTAAAACTGCAAAATAGTTTCAAAACCGGGGTAAACTGATTTTTAATTAAAATTGTTTTGTAAAATTGTTCTTTCTTATTAGAATTTTTTAATACGTAGCCTAATACTATATATAGGACCTTCCATATCTTCTAATAACATGGATGGTTATATCTATTCACTACTCTTTAGCTTGTGAATATTTATTTTTCTTAGGTTTTATTTAAAAAAATTATTAAAAAAAAATATTTGAAATAAATAATAATGTTAGGACCGTTGAAGTTAATGGTTTTTTTTACCTTGTAATAAAGTTTAGACAATTGACGTGGTTTTGTTAATTATTTTTTAGTTTTAATTTGGCCTCTTAAAAAATATTTAATTCTTTTTAAACATTCTGATCCCTTGTTTTATTTTATACTTAATTTATGTATATATACTACGTTTTAGTCAATTAAATTAGAAACATTATATTTTTTTATGTATATAATTTAAGGTGTTAAAATAACATAAAAGATTTAAAAGATCTAGTATTTAACGTTAATTTATTAGAAATATAAAAAAGAATTGAAGAGAACACATTACATTTTTTAACTAATTTAAAAGGATAAAAATACAATTTAATAAATATTAAAAAATGTGTAGATTCTATTTTATAAAAATAACAGTTGACTAATAAGTTAGTTTATAGTTTATGACTCATAACTAATAGTTTATAACTTATAGCAGATGATTGATAACTGATAGCTAATAAACTAATTGAGTTAGTTGGTAAAATTAACGGTTCAACTAACTTATAATGTAAAATGACATAAAAGTAATTTAATACATATTTATTTTATTTTAAACTAAAAAAAAATTATATAGAATAAAAAAAATTTATTAAAATAATAAGGATAAAATTGAAAGAAAAAATGATAAGTTATAAGTTATAAAGTAAAACGTTATTTGAAATAACGTTTGAAAAATAAGCTATAAACAAGTAAAATAAGATATAAGCTTGTGCTAAAAAAAATGTTACTAAACAAGTCTAAATTGTCATGTGAGCTTACAAATTATAAGTTCGAAATTGTAACTTATCAAACAGAACCATAGTCTATGATAATTGCAACACTTCGACTTACTTTTGTCAAATTTCTTGAAGTTGTTGTCTTGACCATATCTTTGGAGCTGCTCTCACCCTTTGCAGCATCGAAACCTTCGAATTTGGTGGATCATTTCCACCCAAATTCTGAGAATTTTGCTTCCCTTTCGAAACCTATTTTTCTTTCGATCTTTCAATCTTCTCGCTAAGTCGTGCTTGCAAAGCAATCTCCGCTTTACCTTTATCGCTTCCTCTCTCGTCCATCATTTTCTCATAAGCCTCAAGAAAGCTTTGAAGCTCATCTTTTCTCAACATCGCAAGGTCCTTCGACTCTTCGATAGCCACTACAATGTTGTCAAATCTTGACGTTAAAGAACGCAAAATCTTTGAAACAACATTCTTCTCCAAAACAGTTTCTCCGCATGACTTAATTTGATTCACCAAACGCGTAATACGCGCCACATAATTGTTGATCGTCTCCTTTTCTTCCATTTGCGTTAACTTGAATTGCCTGTTGTAAGTTTGTAACCTCACCACCTTAGCTTTAACAGCCCCTGCATAAGCTTTCTCCAAGATCTCTCAAGCTTGCTTCGCCGACTCGCAATTGCCAACTTTCTCAAAGTTGTCACCAAACAGTTTCTCTGCATGACTTAATTTGATTCACCAAACGCGTAATACGCGTCACATAATCGTTGATCGTCTCCTTTTCTTCCATTTGCGTTAACTCGAATTGCCTCTTGTAAGTTTGTAACCGCACTACCTTAACTTTAACAGCCCCTGCATAAGCTTTCTCCAAGATCTCTCAAGCTTGCTTCGCCGACTCGCAATCGCCAACTTTCTCAAAGTTGTCACCATCGATGCAAGAATGAATCAAGAGTGTCTTGTAATCTTTCTTCTTTTCTTCCTTGAATGCAGCCATTTGAGCATCTGTAGTTTCAGCCCCGAGTGGTGTAACTCCCTTGTTGATGATCTCAAGAACTTCTTAATACCAAACAAAACTTTCATTTGCTTTGACCACTTGTCATAATTCTTCGAATAAAGAATCAGTAGGTTGGTGGGAATTCTATCGTTTGAAACGGTACTCATTGTTGCAGCGGAAATGGATCAGAACCAGTGCTCTTGATGCCAAATGTTAGAACATATAAAATCTCTAATGGTGAATTAATGGAGAATTTTGAATTAATTTGGAGAAGATGGAGTTAAAAAAATAGAGAGAATAATTGAGGGTGAGAAGAATAATTGGCATTAGTCACAAATGGGAGTTTACAAGGTCTTATATAAAATAAATACAAAAATATTAAAAATAACAAAACAGGTTGACAAAATAAAGTTGAAAGACTAAAAACAGAATAAAACCAACAAATCATTCGTAACCGGTTACGTAAAATACCGTACCGTAACCGATTACGAACCCAATACCGGTAATTCGCCGTAACTAATTACGCAATTAAAATGTAAAAAACTGATTTTCCAACATTTTATGTATTGGTTTTCTTTGCCTTAAAAAAGAAAAAAGAGTACGGTGTAAAATGATAGTGTTATAATTTAGTGTCAGCATAGTATATTTCGAATTTTTTTTAAGTATAACAAATTTATTAAATTAAAACACCAAATAAATCAAAAGTTAAAAAAAAATTACTAAAGTGGCTAGGTTTTTAGGTGGAGTCGCCAATTCAAACGGCGAGTTGGGCTATAACAAGTGGTGTCGCCAATTGAATTGGCGGCATGGCCCATTCCTATTGAATAATTCCTAAAAAGAAAAAAACATATTTTGAGGAGTAGCCAAATCAATTGGCGACTCCTTATTGGCCAGTTAGACAATGTCGCCAATTTAAACGGCGAATCCTATGAAACTTGGTCATTTTTATAAATTTTTTGATATTTTATTTTGTTTGGTATTTTTCTTAAAAAACATTGTTATTATAAAAAAAATCGTATATTTCGAAAAACTTATATTACTAAAGGACTGTCCCTTTCATACAATTACATATATTATTACTAAAACAAACACAGAAAACTTGCAATTCCACACAAAACAACAAACGTTGTTATTTGTTAACTTAAAAGACTTGTTGTTTATTGATACACTAGAACAGATCACTTTCACATCCCATCTCAGATTTCAAAATCACTCGCCTAAGGCTTTTCACAAGATCATCCACTCTCACTTTGTATCCACCGCCCATCTGCAATATATCAATTCAAGATTTCATATTATAATTTCATTGCAAATACAATTTTAAGTATGTCATTAATTCATTTACCCGAGCAATAATAGTAATGGAAATATCTGATTTCCCAAATGGCAACACACTGCTACCAGTAACAAAAAGCTCAAGATTTTCAACGTGTTTTAGTACTTTAAGCTCAATTCCGATTTGTTTCTCACAATGAATTTCAATAAGCACTTCCTTTCCCATAACTCTTGCTTCAATCTCTGGTGTAGTATTTTTGTTGCAATCATAATCATCATCAGTACTTGTTTCATCAGAATTGTTGAGGACCATCATTGATGTGACACCAATGTTGTTGTTTTGTTTCTCTAGCTCATGAACACGTTCTTGAAGATTTTTCACATAATCAATTGCTGCTCGAAGTATTGAAGCTTTATCTGTCTATAAAAAGGAACCTTAAATTTCATAACTTTTTTATTAAGTAATTTTAAACAATTTACTTACCTTGCTCAAACCAGGAATGGTGGCCGAAAGCGCGATGAATCTCTCCGTCAATTCCTGTCTCCGTTTTCTCTCTGCGATTATATGATCAGCACACTGAAATCTGCTTCTACTTTTCTTCACTACTTTTTCTTCATTTCTTTTCATCTTTTCATTACTTTCACGGCTCCGTTTATTCTTCGAATCACGTTTAGCTTCAGAATTGACACAAGGTTGAGGCGTAGCAGCAGGTATCACAGTTGAGTTATCAAACGACAAGATGAATGTCTTTGGTAAACAACATGGTCCACCAACATTTTTTGATTGTCCATGTTCTTCTTGTTGTTCAGATACTACAGAATCTGAACAGTCACTTTTTATCATGTTATTAACAACCTCAACATCGCAGTTAACAGAATCATTTTCACCAGTTTGTGGTGTTTCTAACAGAATCTCTCTAAGAAAGTCATCACCGTCGTCAATGTTAATGGTGTCGCAGTTATAATCCAATTCCTACAAAAAAAATTAAATTATTTTTCATCATAAAAGTGTGACTAATAAATCAAATTATTATTCCGTCTATGATATAAACAATAAATTTACCATGTGAAGATTAAAATTTTCCCATGACTCTTCCATTGGAAGGTAGAAACTGATCTAGCTTGAGAAAATTTTGTGTTTGTGTTGTGATGTTTTGATCTCCGCAAGACGATTTATAATGAAAATATATAATAGAACAATGATTAAGGAGTGTACTATTACTAGTATAATTTATAGCTAGTCTAGGTACAAACAAAATATTACTCGTTTTTTTATGCTATTTTAATAGTAATGTTATTCATATACCAATATTTACATTGTATATATTATTTAACGTATTTATACGGTAAATAGTATATTTTTTTAATAAACAAAATATATTTATGAATATTATTATGAACAGTACTATAAATAGTTATTCGTAAACAGTGTCTATGAATAGTTTTTTAAATTATGAAATAAAATTGATTAATAAAATATAAAAAATTGATTAATAAAGTGATGAAATTAGTTAATAAACGTCTAGATATTAAAAATAGTTTTTAATAGTAAAACAAAATTGATTAATGAAAAATAAAAAGTTGGTTATTAAAATTATGAAGTTCGTTAATAAACTTTTAAATATTAAAAATATTTTTGAACAGTAAACAAAGTTGGTTAATAATATGTAAAATGTTAGGTTAATAAAATTATAAAATTCGTTAATCACATAATTTCATATCAGTATTATTTAATTTTAAAATAAAAAATTTAATTTTTTATATATATTTTTTTAAAATATATTTAATATTATAATATATCACTGAAGTCGTATTGATTAACAGTAAAATAAGATATAGATATGATAGTTCTATTTTAATTTCAAAAGTTGGATCAATGATTTTGGCACGAAACAATGTTGAAGGGGGACCATCCCATGTGTGTGGGAAATGAGAGGTATGTATATCGCTATGTTAACTTCTAGGTCATGCTATCTTGTTTTGTGGCAAAAGTACAAGCGGTTTGTAATCACTTTTTATAGATCAAATAAACACATTCATGACTGTGCTATGAAACGTACACTAAGCTATTTATGTTTAGCATGAGTTTTTGGACCATTATTTTCCCAATACCATTTTGTTTTAATTAAGAGATAGGCGGGACAAAAATAAGCCATCCCACTCTTTGACCATGATATCCTAATGAGGTCGGTCGGGTTAAATTCGGGTTTATCAAAAAGCTTGAATGGATTTTTTAGAAACTGACATTTCAATTTTATTGAGTTTATTAAACCTAAATAAAGTTGAATATGATTGAGTTTATATATTATTTTTATTTTATATTACTAGTTGTTTATTAACCAAATTTAAGCTTAAATAGTTATCTAACTTTCTTATTTCTCAATCAAAGTGAAACTTTAAATCTACTTCACTCTCACTTTTTCTTGTCTCATTCTGCCTCACAATTCACTTCAACTCTCAATCTCTTGCTGTTCTTAAAGTCTCTTAATCCCTTACCAGCGGTTGTCCACCATTTTCTTGTATACTTTTCTCTTTTACTTTGTGTCTCTCACCATTGATCCAACTTATTAGGAAGTTCTTAGTAAGTTTTAGCATTGGTTGTAACTAGCTATGTGTTAGTTGAGAGTTAGTTATCCAACCAAGTGTGGTTACTTGGTTTACAAATAATGTCTCTCCATCATGTATATAAGAATCATCATGTCATAATAATCAATAAAGTTTTACTTTACGTCAACAAGTGGTATCAGGGGATCCGTTCAAGGGTCATGTTGTTTTCTTTCAATCGTCTAATGTAGTTTCTTGATTAAAGGCAAGAAAGTTTATTATTTTTGTTATCTTCATCATCCTTGTGTTACACTATTTATTCAACTTCTTTCCAGATGCAACACAAGAACAACAAAAACTTGTGGAGGAGAGCAAACTTAAAGATCTCAAACCCAAGAATTACTTGTTTTAAGAAATTGATCGTATAATTCTTGGGCAATCTTGATTTGCAACACAACAAAGGATATTTATGATTCAATGCATAGGAAGTATCAAGGTACTACGAAGGTAAACAGAGCTCAGTTGTATGCCTTACATCGTAAATTTGAGGTGCTTAGCATGAAATGTAACGAGTATGTTGATGGGTAGTTTGCAAGAACCTTGGTCGTTGTAAAAAAAATGATTGCTAAAGGCAAGGAATTGGAGCAAACCATAATTGTTGAGAAGGTGTTGAAATCAATGACCACAAAGTTCAATTATATGGTGTGTTCCATTGAAGAATCAAATGATGATACAACTCTCACCTTTGATGAACTTTATAGCAGTCTTCTAATAGTGATGGTTGCAAATTATGGTCGTGGTGGTGGCAACAATATAGCAAGGGGTGTGGTGGCTTTCGTGGTTGAGGAAGAGGACGACAAAGTAGAGACCAAATTGAATACTACAAGTGTCACAAGTTAGGACACTATCAATGTAAGTTCTCAACTTGGCATGAATGTGATGCCAACTTAGCTGAATACGATGAGAGTGAAGAATTGTTTCTTATGGCACAACATGAAGGAATCACAAAAACCAACAATTAAATTTTGTTTATAGCAATCACATGGTGGGAACAAAAGAATGACTCTTCAATTTTGACGAAAAACTTTGAGAATCTGTCAAGTTGGGAGATGACTCCAAAATGCAAGTGACGTGAAAGGTAAATTTGAAGTTTCACATGAATGGCATCATCCAAGTGGTTACTAATGTGTATTACCTGTCAAGCTTGAAAAAGCAATGTCCTTAGTGTTAGGTATATAATGCAAAAGAACATTGTAGTGTTATATTTATGAGTCTTAAACAAGGGAGACTCAGGCGTCCTCGCCTAAAAGTGATATCTCCTAGAAGTTAACCTCATAGAATAGATGGGTTCCCCCTAGGCATAGATAACGTGTATACTATCGTTGTTTAGATAAGAGGAAGTCCACCATGATTCTCTAGAGAATATGAGGTCAACAATCTCTCATAGTTATGAGGGAACAATTCTCACCCCGAAGGATTTCCTAAACCATAGGCCTAAAAGTCTCAAAAACATATCTCTCCCCAAGTGAGAGAAGAGAAAGATCATAATTGAGACGCATATTACCCAAATCACAATACTTCACACTTAGCCTCTCACGTCACGTGAGCAGGTTCTCCTAAACCGCCGAAAACACCAACGTACAGGGCTTCTTGATGCTACAGTCAAGCCCTAACCACCATACAGTGTAATATACCTACTAAGGCCTCTGAGCATCCCTACCCTTGGCAGGGGTGACATGCACACCTATACTTCTTGGCCAGTATAATGGTCCATCGTGGAGTTCGTTAAAACTAACCCGGGCCACCCTTTCTTCATCATCCTCACCCTATGCACTATTGACCTTCACTCATACACCTAGCCACTTCCGACCATGGTTAACAGAAGGGCTTTATCCACTACATTGAAGGTACCAACGGTAGTGGTGATGTTGATGCCATGGCAGAGATGCGTGCCACTATGGGTGTTTAAAACCCAACCAGCCTAATAGAAATTTGCTAATTGAATCAAACTAAACCGAAAATACAAAAAATTGCATCAGGTTCATATGCATTTGGACCAATTTTTAACAAAACAGTGTGATTTGGTTTGGTTTGCAGTTTGTATTTTTCCAAGCAAACCAAACCAAACCGCATTATGTTATAACCCAAACTTTACACAATCTACGTCCAACTCAAACCCAAACCTATTATGCCTTAGCATTAAGATTACATTTTTATTGCACCTTTTCTTCTCGAACCTCCCATCTCTTTTGATCTTTCGTTTTCGTCTTCTCTAATCTTTTTTCTCTTATGTTTTTTCTATTTCCTTATAATATTTTTGATATTTTTTATGCAATTATTTTTTGTTTTTATACCATTTTTGTTTAATCTAGTTTTTTTATATTAAATGGAAAGTTGTTCTCCAACTATGATGAGTTTTGTTGTTGTTTGGTAATGTATGGATGACTAAAAACAAAGTTTGTTGTCCTTTATATGGGTATGTATAAATTAATATTTATTTTGTAAAAAACCAAACCAACGCAAATCGCATTGATTTGGTTTGGTTTGGATCGATTTTATTTCTAAAATCTAACTAAACCACAAAATTTTTTCTCTTGCGGTTCGGATGAATGTTAGCGTCAAAGTTGCCTAAATCGCATCATGAACACCCATATGTTCCGTCGTAAATGAATTATACCACTAAAATCAAACACTTGAGGACGACATGCAAAACATTACACAATGCTGGCAGGAATCTGATCTTCCGTAAGAGATGGAGGTGTTGGATCCCCAGCCATTCTCAGAAGAGATATGGGGAGCGTGTGTCCCTGAAGGATTCAAATCTCCCTCTTTGGCCAAGTTTGATTGGCATTGTTTTATATCCATCAATGTGTGAATAGAAATGTGTTTGAGAAGATCGTTGATTCAATAACGGTGAAGGTTGCGTGAGACACACTGGTATAATGCTATGGTGGTGATATATTAGTGATGAAGGTGATTCTTCGGTCTCTACGTAAGTAGTATGAGAATCTCAACATGAAGAATAATGAGAAGCTACCCAATTACATCTCCAGAGTAATTCTGATCACAAATGAGATGAAATCTTCTAGAAAGACTCTCTCTGAACAAGTAATCATTGAAAATGTACTGAGATCACTTACTCCTTAATTTGATTACATTATTGAAACAATGGAACACTTTAAGGACCTCAGCACCATGAGAATTTAAGAGCTGCAGAATAATCTAGAGGCATAAGAGTTTCATCTAATTGAGAGAACCTCTGAAAGAGAGGTAGAGCAGGCTCTAAAGGAGTCTTCTGGTAAGAAGAATCAGAAGCAGTTTTGGTCAAAGGTCAAGAAGAGACATGGTGGTGGTTATCAAAAGTCAGAAGCCTCCAACTTTAATGAGAAGAAACAACATAATAGAAAGGAGAAGTTTGACGAGAAGAAGGCTCAGTGCTACTGTTGTAAGAAGTTTGGTCACTTTGTTGCTGACTATTGGTCAAACAAGGAAAGAAAATCAGAAGAAGCAGACATAGAAAAAGGAGAGTATGGTAATGAACGTGTGATATTGATA